TTTTTTTTTTTTTTTTTGCAGTTTGGCCAGGGCTGAGTTCGAACCCACCACCCTTGGTATATGGAGCCAGCACCCTACTCATTGAGCCGCAGGCGCCACCCTACAGTTCTTTTTTTATTATTATTTGGGATTCATTGAGGGTACAAAGAATTAGGTTACACTGATTGAATTCATTAGGTAAAGTCCCTCTTATAATTGTGTCCCACCCCCAAGAGGTGTGCCATACATCGTGACCCCCCATCCCCTTCTATTCCCCCTCTCCCCCCTCATTCCCATATCCTCCATCTTGTATTAGATGATCTACTGCCTTTGAATTAGAATTGAATACACTGGATTCTTGCTTCTCCATTCTTGTGATGCTTTACTAAGAAGAATGTGTTCCACCTCAATAACTCTAGGTTAATACAAAAGATGTAAAGTCTCCACCTTTTTAATGGCTGAATAGTATTCCATGGTATATGCATACCATGGTTGTTTAGATTTGTAATTCTTTGATTAAGGTTTTAGTTCACATATTTAAAAATGAAAAGTTTAGGCAGGTCACTCACACCTGTAATCCCAGCACTTGCAAGGGTAAGGAGGGTGGACTGCCTGAGCTTCACAGATTCGAGACCAGCCTAAGCCAGAGCAAGACCTTGTCTCTAAAAAAAATAGCCAGGCACTGTGGCGGGAGCCTGTAGTCCCAGCTACTTGAGAAGCTGAGGCAAGAGAATTACTTAAGCCTAGGAGTTGGAGGTTGCTGTGAGCTATGACACCACAATATTCTACCAAGGGTGACAAGTGAAATGGTGTCTAAAAAAATAAGTAAAATAAAATAAAAAGTTTATAAGCATATTTAGTTGTAGATATTTTTAAAAACTCAAAATACAGGGATTATTACCAAAGGACTTCACTTTGAATTTGAATCGTTGAAAAGTCACATAAATACTGTTTGTGTAAAATTTTATAAACATAACCTGTCTTGAATTTTGGACTTAGAATACTTGGGACTTGGTGTTAGTTTTCTTAGAAAAATAATAAATAATAGCAAACTTACAACCTCTCAATACACAGTACAGAGAATTGACACAGTAAGTCTTGCCCTGCTATGCTGCCTGCCAATACATGCAGCTTTTGTCTTCGATGGCTGTGTATATTCCAAGTCCTGAAAATCACATACAAAGAATTTGCCTGCACTCATCACTTATTGTCCAGAATCCCTATTGCTTCAGCATGCTCTGATGAAAAGAATATTAAGTAGCCTGGAAGGCAGGAAACCCTGATACTAATCCTAATCCTGTCACCAGATATGCCAGTTGATACCTTGACAATCCAGTTTTCTCTACAAATTGGTGGAGTTAAAATACATAATCTATATGACTAACCTTTCAAAACTAAATAAATTATATGCTCAGAGCTTCTAATATAAACCCTTCTATCAAGGCACTGGCCTACTTGTTTGATATGGTTATTAAGGGCATAAGACATAACACTTTTATACTTGAATTAATATATGCTCAATTAAATTAAAAATTAGTAGAAAAGTCAGTAATAAACTTGTTGAATTTCAAACCATAAATGCTTAGGTCTAGAAAGGGCCCTCACTTAGCTTGGCACCTGTAGCTCAGTGGCTAGGGCACCAGCCACGTACACCAGAGCTGGTGGGTTTGAATCCAGCCTGCATCTGTGAAACAACAATGACAACTACAACCAAAAAATAGCTGGGTATTGTGGCGGGTGCCTGTAGTCCCAGCTACTTGGGAGGCTGAGGCAAGAGAATCTCTTAAGCCCAATATTTTGAGGTTGCTGTGGGATGTAACGCCACAGCACTCTACCCAGGGTGATGGCTTGAGACTCTGTCTCAAAAAAAAAAGAAAAGGACCTTCACCATCTATCGATATGGACCCAGAGTGGCTAGTTGGGAAGATATATGTAATAATCACAGAAGTACAAAACAGGTAGTCAAGAAACCTGAGGCTGAATCCCAAGTCTATCACTGCACCTTTTTGAATCTGAGCTTATTTGTCAAAAAAGAAAAATAATATTGAATTCTTATTATGAGGGTAAAATAAGAAGTATATTAAAGTTTTCTGTGAACTGGGAAAATCATTATACAAACTTTGGTTAGTAGTTTGATAGCAGGGTCAGGATAAGAATCTAGAACTGAATTCTATAGTATTTTTTCCACTCTATCAATGACTATAGTCCCTTCTCCAATGAAACCTTCCTTTTCTTCTTCTGTTTTCCAGTTTATATATGATGAATATGGGAAAACACAGCACTTTGAAACACTTCTAATGTATTCTCCTTCTCATTCATATTTTCAGTAATAAAGAAAATTATATCTGCAAACACAGGACACTTTATAAATAATATAAGTGACTTACATTAATGATGGGGAAGTACATAAGAATAACTGTTGAATAGATATGTCTAAAACAGACTAAGAAATCATTGGTAAATAAAGGTGAACATAATTTCAACATCTCTAATTCCATTGTTTTTTAATTGATCTGGAAAGCTACTTGCCTTTTAAAGTACAATATGTCATAGAAATCCTAATGAAAAAGTCAATCAACATTCCCCTCAATTTTGAAAATCCAAAAAAAAGTCTAGTTTAGCTCAAATGACAAAGATGTTAAGTACTTACAATGCAAGTGTCACACAAAGGATCAAAGGGCCCCACAAATCCCCTATAAGGCAAGAAAAATGGAAGATGACTAAAAAGCAAACATATAATATTTTCTACATTTATTCCATTATCTACATCTCTCACTCTTAGAATTCAAACGTCAAGGCTCTCTTTGTCTGCCAAGCCTTCCTACATCTTCTATCCTACTACTTGCCCTCCCTGCTCCCTAATACTAAATGCTCTTCTTCACATATCCATCTTTTAAATCACCTTTCTCTCCATCTACTAAGCCACAATTCCAGCATGCTGTAAGTAAATACCAATGGACAGGCCAGGCATGATGGTGCATGCCTATAGCCCCAGCTACTCAGAAGGATGAGGCAAGAGGATCTCTTTAGCCCAAGAGTTTGAGGTTGCCATGAGCTATGATGCCATGACACTCTACCAAGGGTGACAGAAGTTATCTTAAAAAAAATAAATAAATACTAACAGACAAGCAGTTAGAAGACAGAGGTGCCCTACCCTATACCCTCAGAAAAAGACTACAGCCAAGACACTTTACCAATATGAGACTATTTTAGACAAGGTAAGTATAATCATGCTTATATTGCCCAGGTTGGTCTCAAACTCCTGGCCTCAAGTAATCCTCCTGCCTCACCCTGCTGAGCTGCTAGAATTACAGGTGTGAGCCACTGCACCTAGCAATTTACCCAAGTTTATATGTAGAGGTAGCCTCAGAACCTAGGTCTTCTGATCCTTAGTCCAAAGTTCTTGCCACTCTGTCCCACTGGTTCTCTTTAACTATTACGCTGAACTAATATGGAGTGGCTACTCTTATCTACATGAAACAGAGCCCAATATTGGTAATTTCATAAGGCTAAACTTTACCACATAACATGAAAGCTTTCTGAAAATCATAAAAGGTTCTGACAACATCAGCTCTAGCTAACAGGGGCCCTCAATCAAAAGTTGTTGAGGGCTCAGCACCTGTAGCTCACAAGCTAGGGTGCCAGCCACATAACACTGGAGCTGGTGGGTTTGAACCCAGCCCAGGACTGCCAAACAAGGACAACTACAACCAAAAAATAGCCAGGCATTGTGGCAGGTACCTGTAGTTCCAGCTACTTTGGAGGCTGAGGCAAGAGAATCACTTAAGTCTAAGAGTTTGAGGTTGCTGTGAGCTATGATGTCACGACACTCTACTGAGAGTGACATTATGAGACTCTACCTCAAAAAAGAAAAAAAAAATTGTTGAGTAGGCCAGGCTCAGTGGCTCATGCTTGTAATCCTTGCACTTTGAGAGGCCGAGACCAACCTGAACAAGAGCAAGACTCTGTCTCTACTAAAAATAGAAAAACCTCTAGCTGGGCATTGTAGCAGCTACCTGTAGTCCTAGCTACTCGGGATGCTGATGCAAAAGATTCTCTTTGAACCTAAGAGTGAAGTTGCTGTGAGCTATGATGCCAGAGAACTCTACCAAGGGCAACAAACTGAGACCCTGATTCAAAAAAAAATCTGCCTTGGCGCCTGTGGCTCAAGTGGCTAAGGCACCAGCCACATACACCTAAAGTGGCGGGTTCAAATCCAGCCCGGGCCTGCCAAAAAACAATGACGGCTGCAACCAAAAAATTGCCGGGCATTGTGGCAGGTGCCTGTGGTCCCAGCTACTTGGGAGGCTGAGGCAGGAGACTTGCTTGAGCACAGGAGTTGGAGGTTGCTGTGAGCTGTGATGCCATGGCATTCTACCCAGGGGGATAGCTTGAGGCTCTGTCTCAAAAACAAAAAACAAAAACCTTTTGCATAGCTATACAAATTGCATTTTATACTAGATGTTATTACAAAACAAACGGTTTTTAAAAATTTATAAAATTAAAGAAGTATAAAATTTTAAATTTAATTTATAAATTTATAAAAGTTAAAAAGTTATAGTAAGCTAAGATTAATTTATTATTGAAGAAAGAAACCAAAATTTTATAAATTTACTGTAGTGGAAGTGTACAGTAATGTCCTAGGGCAAGGCCTTCATGTTCACTTACCACTCACTCACAGACTCAGCCAGAACATCTTCCAGCCCCACAAGCTCTATTCCTGATAAATCCCCTCTATAGCTTGATGCCTGTAGCACAGTGGTTATAGCGCCAGCCACATATACCAAGGCTGGCGGGTTCGAACCCAGCCCTGGACAGCTAAACAATGACAATGGCAACAAAAAATAGCTGGGCGTTGTGGTAGGCACCTGTAGTCCCAACCACTTGGGAGGCTGAGGCAAGAGAAATCACTTAAACCCAAGTTTCAGGTTGCTATGAGCTGTGACACAGTAAGACTGTCTCAAAACAAAACAAAAAAATACCCTCTATAGGTGTGCCATTTTTAAATCTTTTATACTGTTTTCACTGTAGATTTTCTATGTTTGGATGTTTAGATACACAAATACTTAACATTGTGTTACAAATGCCTATAGTATTCAGTGCAGTAACATGCTGTACAGGCTTATAGGCTAGGAGTGATAGGCTACACCACATAAACTAGCTAGAGTACAGGAGGCTAGATCATCTAAGTTTGAAGTACACAATATGATGTCTGCACAACAAAATTGTCTAATGATGGATTTCTCAGAATGTAACCCTGTTGTTAAGTGATATGTGACTATACAAACATTAATACACTGTTTTTTAAATATACTGAAAAATATTTTTAATTCATAGAAAATCCATAATTTTTAGTTCTTTTGTTATTCTAAAATATATAACATACTATTTACCATTTTGACCATGTATTTTTTTTAAGAGACAGAGTCTTACTTTGTCACTCAGACAGGAGTACAATAGTCTGATCACAGCTCACTGTGGCCTTAAACCTCTGGGCTCAAGTTATTTTCCTGTTTCAGCCTCCCAAAGCACTAAAATTACAGGTGTAAGCCCGTCCCCATTTTAAGCAGTTCTAAGCATATAGTTCAGCGGCATTAAGTACGTTCACACTGCTGTACAACCATAACTATCCATCCATCTCTAGAAATTTTTCATCTTTCCAAACTGAAACTCTATAGCCATGAAATAATTCACCCATTCCCATCCACACAAGCCCCTAGGTACCACAATTCTACTTTCTTTCTCTATGAATTTGACTACTCTAGGTATCTATCATAAGTGGATGAGTATTTGTCCTATTGCATCTAGCTCATTTCACTTAGCATGTTTTCATCCATGTGGTAACTCATTCCTTCTTCAGGCTGAATAATATTCCATTTATATATGGTATACACCGTGGCATGTATCACATTTTGTTTATCCATCCATCAATGGAAATTTGAGCTGTTTCCAACTTTCAGCTACTGTGAATAATGCTGCTATGAACATGGATGCACAAATAATCTATTTCAGTCCATTTTCAGTTCTTCTGGGTATATACCTAAAAGTGAAATTACAGCTCAGCACCTGTAGCTCAGTGGCTACGGAGCCAGCCACATACACAGAGCTGGTGGGTTCAAACCTGGCCTGAGGCCTGCTAAACAACAATGACAAAATCAACAACAAAAAAATAGCCAAGCAATGTGGCAGGCACCTGTAGTCCCAGCTACTTAGGAGGCTGAGGCAAGAGAATTGCTTAAGCCCAAGAGTTGGAGGTTGCTGTGAGCTATGATGCCCCAGCACTCTACTGAGGGTGACAAAGTGAGACTCTGTCTCTAAAAAAAAAATGTGAAATTACTATATCATATAGTAACTATGTTTAATTGTTTAAGAATCCGCCATATTGTTTTCTACAGCTACTGTACCATTTTGTATTCTCATTAGCAATGCATAATAAGTATTCCAATTTTTCAATACCCTCCCAACATTTATTTCCTGTTTTTTCTTTTTTGTTTGGTTGGGTTTTTTTGAGACAGTCTCACTCTATTGCCCCAGGTTAGAGTGCTATGGCGTCATAGTTCACAGCAACCTCATTCTCCTGGGTTCAAGCAATTCTGCCTCAGCCTCCCAAGTAGCTGGGATTACAGATGCCCACCATGACACCCAGCTAATTTTTCCAACTTTAGTAGAGACAGGGTCTGGGTCTTGCTCTTGTTCAGGCAGGTCTTGAACTCATGAGCACAAGCAATCCACCCACCTTGGCCTCCCAGAGTGCCAGGATTATAGGCATGAGCTACTGCACTCAGTCTATTTTTTTACCAATAGCCATCCTAATAGGTGTGTAGTGCTATCTTATTGTGGGGTTTTTCTAAAGCTATTCTTAAGTCACAGATTTTTTCCCTGCTACTTTGCAAAGGGCTATAATAACAGGGTAGGGCAAAAGTGCAAATTCCTAGCCATGACTTGCTCATCCTTTGTGCCAGTCTATCCCTCTATTCCCACAAAGTTTGGGAATAAACTTGAACATATGACACAGCTAAGATTTAATATTCATTAACAAGTTAACACATTGACTAACACAATGATTCTGCATTTTGACTGGAGCAACCTTGCTACAAACAGTAGCAGTGAGTGGAAAGGATATATTCACATATGGAGCAACAGTGGTAACATGGAAAGGGCACTGAACTAGAAACTGTGTTCTAATCCTGCCTGTGTGATTCCGACAAGACACAGATTCTCTGGGACTCATTTTTCTCATCTGTAAAATAGAAATACTCCTATTTCAGAAAGCTGTTATAAGGATTATGTAAGATAATATGTACGTGCATGGGTAGGCATGCTGTGCCAGGTGATTTATACGCATTATCATCTCTACTCCTCACATGTGAAATACATGTTACCATCTCCACTATAACTTCAGCCACAGAAACATTAGCTGTCTTATTCAAGATCACACACCTAGTGATGAAACCACTATTCCTACCCAGATTTGTCCAGTATACCAGTAGTAGCAAATCAGTTTCAAATCACATGTCAGCTATAACTCACAGTGCCCTGTTAAGAAAGACTGTGCCACTGCATCCAGCCGCCACACACAGAGTGACAACATACCTGCCTTGTATTTGACATCCCTGTATTACAACTGAAATGCTGCCAAAATAGGAAGTATACTCGTGTACGACATCGTTGTTACTATTCTGAAACAGCTGATTTGATTTTTCTGATAAAAGGTAATAAGGAAACCAAGATAGCTTGAAAAGAAAAGAAAAATAAGAAACCTAACAATTTTAAGAAAAAATTCTAAGACCATAATTTATTGTACTGTTTTGATAGAACCCTTTAACAATAACAAAGAAGGCTTGGCGCCTGTAGCTCAATGGCTAGGGGGCCAGCCACATACACCGGAGCTGGTGGATTCAAACTCAGCCCAGGCCTGCCAAACAATAATGACAACTACAACCAAAAAATAGCTAAGCATTGTGGTGGGTGCCTGTAGTCCTAGCTACTTGGGAGGCTGAGGCAAGAGAATCGCTTAAGCCCAATTGAGGTTGCTGTGAGCTGTGACACCATGACACTCTACCCAGGGCAACATAGTGGGACTCTGTCTCAAAAAAACAAAAAACAATCATCAGGCAAATTGATAGTTTAAAAAATAGAAATGTTAGGCGGTGCCTGTGGCTCAGTGAGTAGGGCGCTGGCCCCATATACCAAGAGTGGTGGGTTTGAACCGGGCCCCAGCCAAATAGCAACAACAACAAAAAAATAGCCAGGTATTGTGACGGGCACCTGTAGTCCCAGCTACTCGGGAGGCTGAGGCAAGAAAACTGCCTAAGCCCAAGAGCTAGAGGTTGCTGTGAGCTGTGACATCACAGCACTCTGCCAAGGGGGAAAGAGTGAGACTGTTTCTTAAAAAAAAATAGAAATGTCAGGAAAGGTACTATTAATTTATTAATCATTAATGGGTATTTACTATTATTCTAATTTAACACTCAAACATTTGCCTTTCCCTAGCAGATTCCAGAAATATTTTTTGAAGTGTTTACTATAGCATTTTTCAGGTAATGACATACAGTCTACATTTATTGATGAGGACAATATAGGAAGTAAAATCTTTCAACCACTGAACTTCCATTCTAAATTTTTAATTTCTTCCAAAAATGTCACTTAAATATTAATTTACATATTTTTATCCTGAAAAATGATATCCATTTTATTACTACAGAGCCTTTACCTTATACTATGATAAGGTACAGTGAGATGAAGCAAATCTCCAAAAACCTCATATACTTACAATCTCTTAAAAGAGTATTACTTTTCCTTGGGTACAAAACATGCATGAATTTTTTCCCAACAGCTTTTAGATCACGCATCTGAAAAACACAAACAACTTATTATATTGTGACGATCATGGTTGTGAGGCAGACCCCTCACTTAATTTGCTAACATCTCTTTTATTTATTTTTTAGTATTGAGACAGAGTCTCACTATTTTACCCTCAGTAAAGTACCATGGCATCACAGCTCATAGCAACCACAAACTCTTAGGCTTAAGAGATTCTCTTGCCTCAGCCTCCCATATAGCTGGGACTACAGGTGCCTGCCACAACTGGCCTAGCCATTTTTTCTGTTGTTGTTGGAGTTGTCATTGTTGTTTAGCTGGCCTAGGCCGGGTTTGAACCCACCAGCCTCGGTGCGTGTGGCCAGTGCCGTAACCACTGTGCTAAGGGTGCTAAGCCAAATCTCTTTTATTTCAATCACCTGGGAACCTTCACTGAATTTTCTTTTTTTTTTTATTAAATCATATTTGTGCACATTAATACTATCATGGGATACGGTGTGTTGTTTCCATATATAATTTGAAATACTTTCATCCAATTGACCAACATAGCCATCATGTCATTCTCACAATTGTTGTGTTAAGACATTTATATTCAACATTTAGAAAGATTCACATGTACCCTTATAGGATAAATCATAGGCGTGATCCTCGCAATCACCTTCCCTTCACCTATCCTCTCCCCTCCCCTCCCCTCCCTCTCCCCATATTCTTGGACTACAATTGGACTATAGCTTTCCTATGATAGGTAACAATTAGTTTCATAATAGGGTTGAGTACATTGGATACTTTTTCCATTCTTGAAATACTTTGCTGAGAAGAACATTTTCCAGCTCCATTCATGTAAACATGAAGGAGGTAAAGTCTCCATCTTTCTTTATGGCTGCATAGTATTCCATGGTGTACATACGCCACAATGTATTGACCCATTCATGGGTCGATGGGCACTTGGGCTTCTTCCATGACCTAGCAATTGTGAATTGGGCTGCAATGAACATTCTGATACAGTCATCTGTATTGTAGTGTGATTTTTGGTCTTCACGATATATAACTAGCAGAGGAATTATAGGATCAAAAGGCAGATCTATATTTAGTTCTCTAAGTGTTCTCCATATGACTTTCCAAAAGGGACATATTAGTTTACAATCCCACCAGCAGTGTAGAAGTGTTCCCTTTTCTCCATAACCCTGCCAGCATCTGTGATTTTGGTACTTTGTGATATGGGCCAATCTTACTGGTGTTAGACGATATCTCAAAGTAGTTTTGATCTGCATTTCTCTGATGATTAGGGATGATGAGCATTTTTTCATATATCAGTAGGCCATGTGTCTGTCTTCTTCAGAGAAGTTTCTCTTTAAGTCTCTTGCCCACCCTGAGATGGGATCACTTGTTCTCCTCTTGCTAATACGTTTGCGTTCTCTGTGGATTCTGGTTATTAGACCTTTGTCGGAGACATAACCAGCAAATATCTTTTCCCATTCTGAGGGCTATCTGCTTGCTTTATTTACTGTGCTCTTGGCGGTGCAGAAGCTTTTTAATTTGAGGAGGTCCCAGTAGTATATTTTTGATGTTGCTTCAACTGCCCGGGGGGTCCTCCTCATAAAATATTCGCCCAGGCCAATTTCTTCAAGAGTTTTCCCTACACTTTCTTCTAGTGTTTTTATAGTTTCATGTCTTAAATTTAAGGCTTTAATCCAGTGAGAGGCTATCTTAGTTAGTGGTGACAAGTGTGGGTCTAGTTTCAGTTTTCTGCAGGTTGCCAGCCAGTTCGTCCAGCACCATTTGTTAAATAGGGAATTTTTTCCCCACTCGATGTTTTTAATTGGCTTGTCAAAGATCATATAGCAATTAAGTAGCTGGGTTCATCTCTTGGTTCTCTATTCTGTCCCATACATCTAGCTCTGTTTTTGTGCCAGTACCATACTGTTTTGATCATAATGGATTTATAGTATAGTTTGATGTTTGGTAGCATGATTCCTTCTGCTTTGTTTTTGTTTCTGAGTAATGTCTTGGCTATTCGAGGTTTTTTCTGATTCCATATAAAATGAAGTATTATTTTTTGAGATCTTTAAAGTATGACAATGGAACTGTAATAAATTAAATTTAATTGCATTAAAATTATATATTGCTTTAGGTAGTATAGACATTTTAACAATGTTAATTTTTCCCAGCCATGAGCAAGGTATGTTTTTCCATTTGTTAGCATTTTCAGCTATTTCTTTTCTTAGAGTTTCATAGTTCTCTTTGTAGAGATCTTTCACATTCTTCATTAGGTAAACTCCTAAATATTTCATCTTCTTTGACTGTGAATGGAATAAAATTCTTGACTGTTTTTTCAGCTTGATTATTGTTGGTATATATAAAGGCTACTGACTTATGGGTGTTGATTTTGTAACCTGAGACGCTGCTGTATTCCTTGATCAATTCTAAGAGTTTTGTAGAAGAGTCCCTGGTGTTTTCCAGGTATACGATCATGTTATCTGCAAAGAGTGAAAGTTTGATCTCTTCTGATCCTATGTGAATACCCTTGATTGTCTTTTCCTCCCTAATTGCTATGGCTAAAACTTCCATTACAATGTTAAAGAGCAATAAGGGACAATGGGCAACCTTGCCTGGTTCCTGCTCTCAGTGAAAATGATTTCAATTTAATTCCATTCAATACGATATTGGCTATGGGTTTGCTGTAGATGGCCTCTATCAATTTGAGAAAAGTCCCTTCTATGCCAATTTTCTTAAGTGTTCTAATCATGAATGGATGCTAGATATTGTCAAAAGCTTTTTCTGCATCAATTGAGAGGATCATATGGTATTTGTTTTTTAATTTGTTTATGTGGTGAATTACGTTTATAGATTTGCGTATGTTGAACCAGCCTTGAGATCCCAGGATAAAACCCACCTAGTCATGGTGTATAATCTGTTTGATGCGTTGCTAGATTCTGTTTGTTAGGATCTTGTTGAATATTTTCACATCAACATTCATTAGCGATATTGGTCTATAATTTTCTTTTCTTGCTGGGTCTTTTCCTGGTTTGGGGGTGAGGGTGATGTTTGCTTCATAGAATGTGTTGAGTAGTATTCCGTCTTTTTCTGTATTTTGAAAAAGGTTAAGTAGTATAGGTATTAGCTCTTCTTTAAAAGTTTGGTAGAATTCTGACGTGAGGCCATCTGGTCTCAGGCTTTTCTTTGTAGGGAGATGTTGTATAGTTGATGCTATTTCAGAGCTTGATATGGGCCTTTTGACATTTCCACTTGGTTCTAAGTCTTAGAAGGTGGCGTGCTTCTAAGTATTGGTCAATTTCCTTCAGATTTTCATATTTCTGAGAAAAAAGTTTCTTTCAGTATTCATGGAGGATTTCTTGAATTTCTGAGGGGTCTGCTGTAATTCTGTCTTTACCATTTCTAATTGATGAAATTAGAGATTTAACTCTTTTTTTTTCTTGGTTAAGTTGGCCAATGGCTTAGCTTTTTTTTTAACCTTTTCAAAAAACCAACTTTTCGATTTGTTAAACTGTTGTATAATCCTTTTTTTCTTTTTTTTTCTGTTTTTTAATTTTATTTTTTATTAGATCATAATTGTGTACATTAATTCTATCATAGGATACAATATGTTGCTTCCATATACAGTTTGGAAAACTCTCATCCAACTGGCTAACATAGCCATCATGACTTTCTCATAATTTTTGTGTTAAGACATTTATATTCAACCTTTAGACTAATTCACATGTACCCTAAGAGGATAAATTATAGGCGTGATCCCCACAATATCATTCTCTTCACCCATCCTCCCCCCCCCCTTTCCCCATAGTCTTGGCCTCCATTTGGATTATAGCTTTCCTAAGATAGCTAACAATTAGTTTCATAATAGTGTTGAGTACATTGGATACTTTTTCTTCCATTCTTGAGATACTTTGCTAAGGAGGACATTTTCCAACTCCATCCATGTAAACATGAAGGAGGCAAGGTCTCCATCTTTCTTTGTGGCTGCATAGTATTCCATGATGTACATATACCACAATTTATTGATCCATTCACGGGTCGATGGACACTTGGGTAATTCTTTTTTCAATATCATTTAATTCTACTCTAATTTTGGTTCTTCACTGAATTTTCGAGCTAACTCCAGTTCAACCCCCTTCGCTACAAACCAACCAGAGAGGTAGATATGCTTCATCTATTAACTCCTTAAGCTAACATTTTTCCATATCAACCAGTTCTGTTTTAACTTTGAGAACTGTGTAAAAGAGAAGTTCAACCCTCTAAATATGCTACTTAAGGAAACGTAACAGCACTATGAAAAGCTGCTCTGCAAAATACAGTATATGACATTTAATTCATACAAGATGAAGTCCCAAGGGCCTATCAGCCTGCTCCTTACATACCACATTCCTTGTAATATATAAAATAATTTCCAACATTCCCAAATTCATAGATAAATGAATCCCAGAAGATAGGTATGAAAGAAAAGCAAGATATTTGAGGAAAGGTTCATTAATGCAAATATAACCTCTCAAAATACAGAGATAATTCTGTCCTAGTTTTTTCACCTATCTATATCATTAAAAATTCTTTGTAAGGATAGTTTTTAATAGTTTTTTAGCATTCTACTACATAGATGTAATATAACTTATTAAATAATTAACTAATATCCCATCTGTTGTTAATTTGCTTCCAACTTTCCTCTATTACATGTACAAGAATGCTATAATGAATATCTTTGCATTCTGATATTTTTCTATGTTCAAAAAGTATTTTTCACTTCATTTTGGGGGATGCAAAATTATTTGTTTAAAAAGATTTGAACATTTTAAGACTCATAACACCTATTATAGCCAAATTGCTCTTCAAATAGGCTATACCAAATTATTCTCTAGGGGAGAATCTTAAGCTTCAATAAACAAAACATACTAAAAAATCAGTGAACCAAATGAAAATACTGCACAGTATTATCAGTTATTTAGTCCCATGATATCAAACAGAAGTTCTCTCAACTAGTCTAACTTACGATGGTATTCTGAACAGATTCATTCAATGTGGAACTGTCAAATTCCCGAATTTGAGATCTCACAGGAATGGTGATTTCTCCTTCCACAGGGATATCTTGTGAGATAGATATATCTGAAAGGCCTGCAAACTGAGAAAAGTCAAGAGAGAAAAAAATTTAAGTCAGTAATAAGCTGCAGCATTCCTCAGAGATGGCATCATTTCCAGGACAGTAGGGACCATGTCTTTCTACAGGGTATTACATAGTAGTTTAAGTAGGTGTTAGCTATACAGACATTAAGCAATGGCGTTAACTATAATTCTCACCTGCTTATTTAATTTGGAGGAGATGAAATATAATGAAATAGTATATAATGTAAATGCCACAGGCATTTTCTTGCCCTCTAATATTTGGTTTCTTTTCAGCATGAAATCTTCATATTGACTCATGCTCAAAGACTGAGATAATAACCACAGAGATTTAAAAACTGCCATAATGTATACTATGATGTGAGCCACCATGCCTTTAAGGCCAGGCACAGTGGCTCATGCCTGTAATTCTAGCACTATGGGAGGCCAAGGTGGGTGGACTGCCTGAGCTCACGGGTTCAAGACCAGCCTGAGTAAGAGTGAGACCCTGTCTCTAAAAATCAGCTGGGCGTTGTGGCAGGTGCCTGTAGTCCCAAGCCACTTCGGAGGCTGAGACAGAGAATTAATTACTTGAGCCAAGAGGTTGAGATTGCTGTGAGCTATGTCGTCACAGCACTCTGTCAAGGGTGAGAAAGTGAGACTCTGTCTCAAAAAAAAAAAAAAACCTTCCAGCAAACAATTCAACTATATACATAACATTTTTTTTTTTTTGAGACAGAGCCTCAAGCTACCGCCCTGGGTAGAGTGCCATAGCATCACAGCTCACAGCAAACCAAGCAATTTTCTTGCCTCAGCTTTCCAAGTAGCTGGGACTACAGGTGCCTGCCACAACACCCGGCTATTTTTTAATTGTAGTTGTTTCTTGTTGTTTGGCAGGCCCAGGCTGGATTCAAACCCACCACCTCTGGTGTATGTGGCTGGCATCTTAGCTGCTTGAGCTACAGGCGCTACCTACATAACATTTTTTTAAGTACAGTAGAACCTCCATAATTGACCACCTTCCTACATAGACCAACTCAGTAAGTTGACCCAATTTTCACTGACAGGATATGTTACACATGTACCTGCGAGTACAGTAGGCCTAGTTTCTTAGGTTGACCACCTCCGTATGTTGCCCAGTTTCTTACAATCTTTTGGGTGGTCAACTTATAGAGGTTCTACTGTGTAAGAAATAAGCCATATAACTTTTTTTCCTGATAGAGCTCAGTAAATTTCACCCCAAATTATGACTCCTTGGTACAAAAACAGTATTTCTTTTTTATTGTTGGGGATTTATTGAGGGTACAAGAAACCAGGTTATACTGATTGCATTTGTTAGGTATAGTCCCTCCTACAATTGTGCCTTACCCGCAAAAGGTGTATCATGGCTCGGCGCCTGTGGCTCAAGTGGCTAAGGCGCCAGCCACATACACCTAAGGTGGCAGGATCGAATCCAGCCAGGGCCTCCAAAAAACAATGATGGTTGCAACCAAAAAAAAAA